ACCTATACTTTGGAGCGACACTCCTCCTGAGATTTATCACGATCAGGGAGTGTGGGCTCCAGGACCCCTAACTCCCCCTGACATAGAACACTTAGACTCTCAGAATAATGTCATTAATTATACCGCTCCACTGGAAGGACTTCCTTTGTGTATCACCACAAAGACGTTGCTCAGCCATAGCTGTCTTACAATTCAAGCTCAAACATGGTTGAGTCACTATGGAAAAATTATGTACTTATTAAGTCTTGGTTCTATTAATGTAACTGGTGTGCTAACCTACCTTTCCCGGCCCAGTTGCCCTAATTGTGCTGATTAAGGAATGGACTCCATTCAATAGTTCCTACCCTACTCTGTGGACCCAGTGTCTTGCTCCACTGGCTAGAAAACAATCTATGTCAACTGGAGACATTGTGGATTGGGGACCTAAAGGTCAATTAGATCGAAAAGATGAAAATCAGAAATCATGGCACAAACTTCACTGGCATTGGTGGCAAGCTTTTAATGCTTCTTCTTTATACAATACTGGGATCCAATCCCAGTCTGCCGCCCAGATTGCTTGGCATGGAGCAGGATTTAGCCCACCTCTTCTTCCGTGGCATTATCTAGGGAGGAAAGGACCAATTCAAGAGACGATATGGAAGGCAGCACTCCCATTTATGAATGGCAACATCTGGATTGGAATACTCTCCAATAATAGCAATAGTAAGTGACACAATCTTAATGTTGCATTTGTAAAGAATATCACCACTCAATTTACAGTTTTTGTTTTTAATCCTTATGTCTTTTTGGCAGTTAAGGAGAACAAGCTCCAGGTAAACAATACCCAATTGACCTGTAAATCTTGCCAGTTTTATCACTGCATTAATCATAGCACATTGCAAACACATAGCATTTCTACCTTGATGATTTTGGGTCGCATCCCTGGGCTATGGATTCCTGTTAATCTGTCCAAGCCTTGGGCTGCTACACCTGCTTTGCATTTTGTGAAACTTCTTCCAACTTAGCTTACTCATCTTGTCTGTAGAGCCTTAGGCATAATTTTTGCTATTGTTTCTTTAGTCACACTAATAACTTCTGTTGTGATGTTCTCTGTAGCTTTGCATAATTCTATTCAAACAGCTCAGGACCTGGAGAACTGGACACGCACAGCTGATCAAACGAGGCTACTTCAGAATAAAATTAACACGGGGTTAACTGAAGTGGCAATGTTAAAATCCACGGTCCTATGGTTAGGGGAACAAGTACAGAGCTTGCAGTTCCAGCAGCAATTGCGTTGTCATTTTAACCACATTCATATCTGTGCAAACAACTTAGAATATAACCAAAGTGAGAATCCACGGGACCTTGTGAAAGCTCATTTACAGGGAGCGTTCACATCCAACATCACCTTTGATATTGGTGAATGACAAAACAAAATTCTTGATTTAAATAAGCCAACTCAAAAATGTCAGCCTTCTTTAGAAGACTGGACCAAATTCCAGCAAGGCCTGGCAAGCCTCAGCCCTTGGACCTATCTAAAGCACCTCATTAACATCTTATATGTAGTTCTTGGAATAATGCTGTTTTTGTCTCTGTCTTCTGCTCATAGTCTGTAAAATCGGATGGACTGCCAATCAGAGTATGAGAGCTGCCCAGCCTGGCCTTACATTCTTTCAATTAACACATAAACACGAAGGGAGAGATGTTGGGAGCTGAAAAGGACAAAGGGATCATGATCAACTCAGCATTCCACTGGAGGCTATATGGTCAAATAGCTACTGTTTATCATGAATGCAGGATGTGAGCAAACTCACACAGCGTCTGCCACCAAAAGGTTTGCTGAGGGCCTCACTCCCTGGCGCTGGGCTCCTTGAAGTTATCTACTGAGAAATCTAGCACCTATTGTTCACAGGATGCAGTCTGGCAAGCCTGCTGTGAACCAAACAGCAGACGGACAATTACTACCCCACAATCACCCCCCATTTATCGCTATCTGTTTTGCCTAATAAATATGGAGGGCTGTGTAAAGCTCAGGACCCTTGTCCACTAGAGGCAAGGTGCCCCCTGACCCCTTCTTCAAAATATACTCTTTCGTCTCTTGTCTTTTATTCCCGCATTCATCCCTCTTTGTTCAGGTCCCCTAGGTCCGTGCAGGTTACAAGTGGCACCTCTGATCAGCGACGGAATTGGGTGCTCTACAGTCAGGGAGGGCCATGTTAAACCCTTTCATAAGCCTTGGGTTTTGAGTGAGATGGGGAGCCACTTAAGTGTTCTGAGCAAATAAATGACAGAATTAGACCTTGTAATAACAAGAAAATCCTATGTGGCAGCTGAATTAAGTGGACAGAAGTGAGACAAAGTGGAGGCAGGAGACCAGTTAGGCTATTCAAATAACGGAGGTGAGAGATGACAGCAGTTTGGCCCAGGGTGGGGACCATGGAAGTGGTAAAATTTAATAGTTAAATTCTCATAGATTTTGAAAGCACAGCTGACAAGGCTTGGTGATAGACATGCTACAGCACAAGAAAGGAAAAGTCAAGGATGACTGCAGAATTGTGGCCCCAGGAACTGAAAGAATAGAACTGCCATTCCCCAAGAGGGAAAGGTCATGGATGGAGTTGGGGGTGGGAGAAGAGCTGGGAGCTCAGCATTGAAGTAGTACTTGTCAGAAATCAGACCAGAGATGATGAGGAGCCTAAGGGTCAAGGAGGGGTGTGGACCAATGATACAAATGTGGGCATCACTAGCATGGGCTCAACCACCAAGAGTTGGGCACTGTGTGGGCAGGGCCTCGTGCCTGTAAGAAAGATTCAATATCCGGTACAGATTTCTCCTCTCCAGCTCTTCCTTCCTTTTTTTGGTTTGCTTGGTGTTTTTGAGACGGAGTCCCACTCTCTTGCCCAGGTTGGAGCGCAGTGGTGCGATCTCGGCTCACTGCAAGCTCCACCTCCTGGGTTCACGCCATTCTCCTGTCTCAGCCTCCCAGGTAGCTGGGACTACAGGGGCCAGCCACCACGCCCGGCTCATTTTTTATATTGTTAGTAGAGACGCGGTTTCACCGTGTTAGCCAGGATGGTCACGATCTCCTGACCTTGTGATCCCCCCACCTCGGCCTCCCAAAGTGTTGGGATTACAGGCATGAGCCACTGCTCCCTGCTGTTGTTGTTTTTGTTTGTTTTCAATTGAAGTGAGTGATAGAGTCAAAACTTTTTTTTCTTTTACGTTTTAGTTATTTCCTAGATTTCCAATTTCTCCAGGATGTGTTACTACATCACTATAAAGAATTTATCATTTACATTTCATAGTATGTTTGTTTATTTTGAGATGGAGGCTTGCTCTGTCACCCAGGCTGCAGTGCAGTTGTGTGATCTCAGCTCACTGCAACCTCCCAATCCCAGCATCCCAGGTTCAAGCAATTCTCCTGCCTCAGCCTCCCAAGTAGCTGGGACTACAGGCGTGCACCACCACACCCGGCTAATTTGTTTGTTTTTGAGAAGAGTCTCCCTCTGTCGCCAGGGTGGAGTGCAGTGGCACAATTTCGGATCACAGCAACCTCCGACTCCCTGGTTCAAGCAATTCTGCCTCAGTCTCCCAAGCAGCTCGGAATACAGGCATGCGCCACCATACCCAGCTATTTTTCTTCTTTTTTTTTTTTTTTTTTGAGACAAAAGTTTGCTTTTGTCCCCAAGGCTGGAGTGCAATGGCGTGATCTCAGCTCACTGCAACCTCCACCTCCCAGATTCAAGAAAGTCTCCTGCCTCAGCCTCCCAAGTAGCTGGGATTATAGGTTTGTGCCACCACACCTGGCTAATTTTTGTATTTTTAGTAGAGATGGGGTTTCACTATGTTGGCCAGGTTAGCCTTGATCTCCTGACCTTGTGATCCGCCCGCCTCGTCCTCCCAAAGTGCTGGGATTACAGGCGTGAGCCACCTCGCCCAGTCTTTTTTTTTTTTTTTTTTAAACAGTCTTGCTCTGTCACCCAGGCTTGTGCCACCACACCCGTCTAATTTTTGTATTCTTAGCAGAGACAGAGTTTCACCATGCTGGCCAGGCTGGTCTGGCTTACCATCTCCTGTACTTAAGTGATCCACCCACCTCCGCCTCCCAAAGTGCTGAGATTACACGCATGAGCCACAGAGCTCAGCCCATAATATGTTTTTAAAAAGTACATCTGGAGATACTGACACAATTATGAATGCAGGCTGTAACACTTAGTAATATGGTCTACAAATTACGTTGCAATTTCAAAGTATCACTACAAAAGTAATATAAAAAGCTGTTGATTTTCTAAACGCATTTCCAATTGACCTTAGATTACCAATTGCCAATAGTTTTCAAAGTGACAAATATGGAAATTTCTAAAGTCACTTTGCAATAAGTAAGCAAATATCTCTCTTGGTTATAGATCATATGTAAAATCAATGCCATATTAAGGAAAACCAAAGTTATAAAACTAAATTTGTGAAACTGCCCTTTTTTCTTTCCTTTTCTCTTTTTAGGATGGGTTGAATTAGTACTAAATTTGGGTTTCACAAGGGCGAATTTATCTTTGAAATGGATTTTCCTCCCATCAGGTAGTCTTAATTGCTTTATAAAAATCTAAAATCTAATATAGGTTTTTAAAAAGTAAATTTTTCAAGCAGTTCATATGTTCGGCCCAAAAGTAAAAACTGAGTTTATACATTTGCTTCAAATTAAAAATTGACGACCGGAAAGCATACTTTTAAAGGTAAAGTCCTTGTGAGAAGAGTTAAGAATCACGAGAACGGAAATGCGATTTGCTACCTCTGGGTTTCCGTTCGCAGAAGCGCGAGGGGCCCGGCGTTGCGGGTCTGGCTCGCTGGGCCACCCCTTTCGGGTCACTGAACCGGGGCACGACAGGGAGTGGGTGCTCCTCACACCGAACGCCCGGGCGAGGGCAGCTGCAGCCTCGGGATGGAGCCCAGAGCCCTCCCCTGCAGATGACGCGCCGCTGCGGCTTCGCCTACCCTCCCACAAGATGGCTGCGGGTGGCGCCAAGGATGCTGGGCGCGCGCCCCTCGGAACCCGGGAAGAGGTGGCCGGGGCGGGGCCGGGGGCAGGGCCAGCGGGAGCCCGGCGCTGATTGGCCGGCGTGGCCGGCGGGCCCCCGCCGCTGGTTCGTAGCGGGCGCCGCGGCCTGGGCTGGGATGTGAGAAGCGGCGGGTTCTGGGCTCCGGGCTCCGGGCTCCGGGTGGCGGCGGCTGTGAGCGGCGGCGGCTGTGAGCGGCGGCATTGCGGCGCAGGCGGCGGGTGAGGCCAGCGGGCGCCGTCGGCGGCCGGCCCTGTCGGCCGCGGGATGAGGAAGCGGACCGAGCCCGTCGCCTTGGAGCATGAGCGCTGCGCCGCCGCGGGCTCGTCCTCCTCCGGCTCGGCTGCCGCGGCGCTGGACGCCGACTGCCGCCTGAAGCAGAACCTGCGCCTGACGGGCACGGGGGCGGCCGAGCCGCGCTGCGCAGCCGACGCGGGAATGAAACGGGCGCTGGGCAGGTGAGGCTTCGCGGAGGGGGGGCTCACCTGGCGCAGGTGCGTCCCGCAGGGGGCCCCAGCACCTCCCAGCCCCACCCAGGGTGGCCGCCAGCCCGATCTGCGGCCGCCCGGATCCGCGCTAGTGTCCCGCATTTGGCCCGCGGCGGCCCCACCCCCGGTCCCTTCCCCAGGCAGCGCGGAGGGAGCGCTCTGCCCTGCCCCGACCCCCTGTGTTCTCCTCCCGCTCTCGCGCTCGGCACTCCCAGCCTAGCCTTGCACCCCGACCCTTTCCCGGGGAAGCCCGGGGGACCCTTACGTTGGGGGCTTGGCGCCGCCCGAAGTCATGACCCCGCGTGGGAGAGCAGGGTAGGGGGTGGGGAGTCCTTGGGAGATCCCTGGACGCCGGGCACAGCAGAGGCATGAGGCAGAGGGGCAGGCGCCAGATCCTGAGAGCGCTGGGGCCCACTCGGACCTCCTCTTCCTGCTCTGCATCGGGCCCCGCACCGAGCGCCCGGGCAGGCGCCCTTCAGGCTGGGCTGCGTGCACGGAGCCTTACTGGCACCTTGGGCGCTCGGCGCCTCTCCCAGGTAACTAGGGTCGGGGGCGTGCGTCGCTCAGAACTCCGGGACCTTTGGGGAAGGGCTCAGTGGGCCGCAGGTTGTAGGGGAAGGAGGGACTCGGAGCATCGCAGCCGGCGGAGGGAAGCCTGTCCTTCCCTCTGCTGGTGGTGGTTCGTGGTGCGTGAAATCTTTCCGCACAAGTTCGCCTCCTTGGGAATCACCTTGCAGTCCTGGATCGTTTGGTTATTGGTGTTCTCCCTTTGGGTAGAAGATGAACGCGTTTATGTAAAGCCACTTTCAAAACTGGGATGCAGTTGGGATGGAGATGGGAACATGTTTCATACAGACAGATTTCTCCTCCCATCTGCTGGTTTCCTAATTATCTGGCTGTTTGTAGAACGTAGCATTCCTGGCAGCTTTGAAGCGTTGATATTTCGTGGTGATTTGAAGAAGTTACTATATGGTGATCTCGGGTGTTGTAGCAGAGCACTTCTTTTTTGACCATCTGGAATGCCCTTAGTTGATGCTGGCCACTTGAGTGTAAAATATTTATGCAAGTCGCTCCTAAGGAAAATTAGAATTTCAACTTCATTGCTTAAAAGATTATGAAATTAAACTGTAGATACTTCTAAGTCGATGATTTAACAGAAGAGCAGAGACTGATAGATTCGTGTCTATGGGTGTAAAATTATCTAGCATCTGATCAATATCTTTTGTGAAACTAATCTGTTCTCTTTGCTATGGAAATATTTGTTTGCATTAAAAACTCATGATTTAACTTTAATACACTTTTATTAACAGACATGGCATGTTAGATAAATTGGAAAATTCTTCCTTCGAAAAAATCGAATTGCCGGGCGCGGTGGCTCACGCCTGTGATGCCAGCACTCTGGGAGACCGAGGCGGGCAGATTATCTGAGGTCAGGAGTTCGAGATCAGCCTGACCAACATGGAGAAACCCCTTCTCTACTAAAAATAAGAAATTAGCCGGGCGTGGTGGCGCATGTGCTTGTAATCCCAGCTACTCGGGAGGCTGAGGCAGGAGAATCACTTGAATCTGGGAGGCGGAGGTTGCGGTGAGCCAAGATATCGCGGAGCGGAGATCGCACCGTTGCACTCCAGCCTGGGCAACAAGAACCAAACTCCGTCTCAAAAAAAAAAAAAGAAAAGAAAAAAATTGTTTCCACAACGTTTGGGGAAACAGCGCCGACCTGGCACCTTCCTTGAAGAATGTACTGTATTAAAATGACCTGATTAATTTTTATTTTCTAGTCGGGACAAAGAGAGGCATTCCAGTTGTGTCCATATCCTTTGGATAAACAAAAGACTGTTGGGGTAAAAAGCAAAACAAAGGCAAGGAAGACCAAATTTGCGAGCTACTGGTTGTCTTCCTTCCCGGCTGGCTCTCTCAGACATCCTTGGACTTTCTCCTCTTCCTCTCTCAGACTCTGTGCCACCATCACCTCCTCACTGAGGCCTTCTTAGACCAGCCCACCCCTGTCGACGTTATTATCACTTACTGGAGATTGTAATTTTTGCTTGTGTGCCTCCCCTGCAACCAGAATGGAAGCACCATGAGAACAGGAGCTTTGTTTTCTCCACTTAAGTATTTCCAGTAGCTGGCACCTAGTAGTGGTTAGAAAAGACTTGTTGAATGAACAAATTATCCATTGCGCCACAGAGCCGGCTCCTTTGTGTCTTTTATGATCCTCCTTTTGATCCTTCCCTACGTTTTTTAAACTCTTTATTGTCAACATACACGGAAGTAGAGAAGACAATCTAATGAGCCTTCATGTATCCATCACTTAAAGTTTTCAGTGTTTAGCCAATTTTGAATCATCCATTCGTCTTCTCCTTTTTTTTGGTAGGATGAAAGGTTGGATTTTTTTTTTTTGAGAAGGAGTCTCGTTCTGTCATCCAGGCTGGAGTGCAGTGGTGATCTTGGCTCACTGCAGCCTCCACCTCCCGGGTTCAAGCAATTCTCCTGCTTCAGCCTCCCAAGTAGCTGGGATTACAGGCGCCCGCCACCGAGCCAGGCTAATTTTTGTATTTTTAGTTTCACCATGTTGGCCAGGCTGGTCTCAAACTCCTGACCTCGTGATCCACCCGCCTCAGCCTCCGAAATTGCTGGGATTATAGGCGTGAGCCACAGTGCCTGGCCTGGAATATTTTTAAACAATTTTTTTTAAGGCAGTTCTATCACCCAGGCTGGAGCACAGTGGCATGATCATGGCCCACTGCAGTCCAGACCTCCTGGGCTCAGGTGATCCTCCCACATCAGCCTCCCTAGTAGCTGAGATGCTGTGTGTATGCACTCCTGGTTAATCTTCTTTGTTTTTTTTTTTTTTTTGATACCTGAAGTCCTCACATGTTGCCCCCCAGGCGGTCCTTGATCCTGGCTTCAAGTGATCCTTCTCGTCCTGGGTCTCGCCAAAGTGCTAGGCGTGAAACTACATAACAGCCACATTCTCCTGCTCAGGACCTCCCGAGAAGCGTGCGGATTACAAGCACATTGCCCACCAACACATTGGATAATTTTCTGTATTTCTAGCTAGGGATGGCGTTCACCATTCTGACAGCTGGTCTCCCAACTCCTGACTTCAGTGATCCTGCCTGCCGGCCTCCCAACAGGTTGGGATTCACAGCGGCGTGAGCCACCATACGTCTCGACTTCTTTCTCTTTCGATTACGCATTGACATTTCTACGAAACAAAGTTGCATAATCCAGGATGACGACTGAGATACCACTTGTTTCATTCTGACTCTCCAGTGCTGAGCAATCGAGCTGTCTACGTGTTTCTGCATACAAGTGACATGTCTGGGCGTCGTGTGTGCTAATGTGTGGGGAAGCCTTTTTGTTTTTGTTCCTCGGCTCTCTCGCTGATGTTTTTAAAATAAAAAATGTGACGAGTTTTCCTCAAATCCAGCGTACGATCTTGGGATATCGATGCAGCCAGAGAGTTTTCTCTCTTATTGTTAACCCTAGTAAGTTATAGTAACTAGGATTTACGAATATAAATCATGCTATTGTAATCCGGGCATGAACCGTCTTTATTCAGTATCACGTCAGTTCTATTAATGTTATTTATCTTTCTTTCTTTTTGAGCGCGACGGAGTTTCACTCTGCTCGCGCAGGCCTGGAGTTGCAGTCGGTGTCCGCGACATCTGGTCACTGGCACACTCGTCTGCCCCATCGATTCACAGATCGGGCTTCAGGCCTCCTGAAGAGCCCGATATCAGCGAGCGCCGCCACCCACGGCACTGGATGAATTTTTGTATTCTTAGTGAGACGGGAGCCCTGCGCCCGTGGTGAACCGCAAGTGGCGGACTGCAAATCTAGCTGGACCTCCGAGAAATCTGCCACCTCAGCCTCCCACAAAAGGGCTGGAGATTGTAGTGTACCACCACACCTGGCCTACTTTACTGATACGTTACGTATAGAACTTTATCAATTGGCCGCCGCAACACAGCCGGGTGGCCAAAGCATCGTAATCCCAGCACTCTTGGGAGGATTCGGACGGGCGGGCATCACGAGTCAGGATCAGGACGCATGCGCTAACACAGGTGAAACCCCGCTCTCACTAAAAAATACAAAAATATAGCCCGGGCGCCACGGTGGGCGGGCCCGGCCTGTAGCAGCCAAGCTACTCGGGAGCTGAGGCAGGAGAACATGGAGCGTCCAAACCC